AAAAATACCTAACACTGGAAAGAACAAAATCAAGACAGGTATCATGAAGGGGTTCTCAAAGGAATAATTCAGTTGTGTTTATAGAAAGAGTCTGGTGTACACTGGAGATGTGGCATCTCCTTTGAATCTAATGAGGAGTTTAGACCAGACCTGCAGCTATGATACAGCTGAGCACCACTCTTAGTTGGATCATGCAGCTCTCTCAATGAAAAGAGCTGCCATAGCCTCCCAGCACCCGGGGCTGTGTGAAATGAATAAAGCTTCTCTGGCTTCTCTCTCACAGGCACCTCTGGGGTTGGAAACATGTTTTCATAATTGTGTTTAATTCTATGTTTGGTGTCCCCACAGTGCCACTATTAAGGTTAAGGCTGAGCTAAAGAAGCTTTTCAACCTTTGTCATCAGGGCTTTTGTTCTTTTAAAGGTAGTATCATTGATCTGACTTTAAGAACACAAGAAAAAAAAAGAGTTGTATCCCTGTTATTTTCACTATTCCCATGAATGTAGTGTATTTTAATTGACTGTGTTTGATATTGTGAAACCCCTCTGTGTTTAGTAGCTGATGAATCAGATGGCTTGGGAAATGGATCTTGTTAAAAGTTTATAATAAGAAAGGGGGTTCCTGATTTGAAAACCTTAGTCAGTTAAGTTAGTCTTTTATTTTGTTTATTTATTTTCTTTCTCTCTGGGAAGCTTAAGCTGAGAAGGCACATTGCGGCTTTGACAGCACAGGGAAACTTGCATGCCTCCTCTATCTCACTCACAGCTTTTGCATGAGGATCTAGTGAACTGTGAATGTTTTGGTTAGGGCTGAGTTCACTAGAAAAGACTGTGTGAAGTAGTTTTGATATAATTTGTTCGCATCTTCTTGGTGGGTCAGGACTTCATACAGAAAAAAAAGAAGCCAAGACACAACAGCAGGCGGACATGTTATACAAGCTGGTGAAAGTGTAGACAGTCATGCCTCCACTTGCATGCATGTGCTCTCATATACACAACAAAGGAATAATAGTTTTAACTTTTAACTTTAAAATTAAAGGACAGATTCATTATGGGATTATAAAGTCAGGTCTGGGAAAAACGAATCGGCATTTTGTGAGATTAGTGCAAAATCTTCATAGAGAATAACTAATGATGGGGTAATTTATGACATTAAATTATAACAATTGCAAAGTAAATTAAAATTCAAGCATATTTGCCGATGGGAGACAATGTAGTCTAAAAGCAAATAAGAACAGTCTGATTATGGCTCATTTTGCTCAGACTACCCTTTTATTAGTGCATTTAAGGCATTACTGTTTGTAATGTGTTAATCATTTGTATAAAATACCATAAAATATAAATTCACCGTTATGAGAGAATTTGGAGATGTTCCATAACAGCAGTTTATGATACAGTTGCATGCATGTGGGAGCCCACAGTAGGTGCTTTAAGTCTTCCTTTATGCACTTCAAAAACATGTTTGGTGCAAGCTAAGGCCCCAAGGCAAGCTGAGGGTAAATGTGCATTCCTTTCTGCCTGATTTAAAAGAGAAGTCTCATCTTTTTGTACAGTTAGTTGATCAGACATTTGTTCAAAAGCACAACTATAAAAAGAAGTCATGTGACCATTATTATTAATTACTGAAGTTTCACTTCAGTAAAATATGCAAGTGCTGAGTGACACAGCTCAGTGTAGAAGAACATTGCTATTAGCAACCAAATAGATGCTATGTTTGATACCTTATGCATGATATGTTTGCATTTAGCTGAACATTGTAGAGTAATACAAGAGATCCTGGCAACCAAATGCGCATCTACCTCTCTTGCCCTGTTTGGGCAGTGTAGCTCTCATGCACTGTGTGGTGTTTTGGTGCAGACAATGTGCAAGCAGCGCGCACAGACACACACTCACACATGCAGAAAGTCATGCACAAGCACAGGTACGCACACAGAGGGCAGCTCTGAGCCAACAATTCACTGTTTATTAAACCCTGTACCATGGCCAGAGCCTAGAGATG